TGTTCCGAAACCCAGTTTTCGTGCCTGAATCTTAGGGCAGGTCGAAACAAATGAGGGCCTAAAAATAGCCCAGGGCCTAAGAATAGCCCTCCGTTTCAGGCTGGAAAAAMTCTGGGTCTGAAAGACCCAGAAATAGGCTGAAACGGAGTAGGGCCTGCAGGCCCTCGTTTTTCAGTTTTCAGGCTGAAACGACCGGGGCCTGTAGATCCGAAGTTTTAGGCTTTTAGGCTGAATGTCCAGGACGGGTCCTACAGGGCCCGTGTGGCTACGCAGTATGCCACACTGGAGGAGCCTGGCCACAATAAATATTGTGAGAGGAGGCTTTGCGACAAAAGGACTTCATTTTGGAGTGCTTATCTGCTAGGCTGCTGGACCAGTGGGAATAGGATAGCGGACAGACAGCAGCCAGGGGAGAGATTAGAGAGTGACCACTGTCACTTCAATTCTTCATAGAAACAGCCACAGCTGCCAGATCATCAGTTCGGTCAATTACTGAGGTTGTCTCACCTGAGACAGCTGTTGGCTTCCATCATGGCGCTTCTTTCTTCCTCTCCCCTCTCATCCGATTTATTATATATAGGACTGGTACAGAGATGTTGTGGAAGGGAGAGAGGTACTTGACTCTCACATTCATGCATGGATTCGTCACAACAAAATCAAAGGAGCTCAGCTCAGCAGTACTTGAGCAATCAGAGAATGAGATACAGGGAGGACATGAGAACTGAGAGTGGCTCACCTGAGACAGCTGTTGGCTTCAATCGTGTCGCCTCTTTCTTCCCCTCCCTCTCATCTGATTTTTGGTATAGGACTGGTACAGAGATGTTGTGAAAGGGAGAGAGGTACTTGACTCTCACATTCATGCATGGACTCGTCACAGCAGAATCGAAGGAGCTCAGCTCAGCAATACTTGGGCAATCTGAGAATGAGAGACAGGGAGAGTTACGGGAGACTAAAGCAGACTAGACTCAGCACACACAGATTCCAGCAGCACCACAAAAATTCATCTCCCCTTGAACATGAAACAAGAGTGGATCCAAGAATGAATGGAAGAAGAATAGTGTTGCAGACTGTCGGTTTGAGTACAACAGTTAAGTCAGGGTTGGTCTGGGTAGACCCAAGCTGAACTAGTGGGCCCAACACTGTTCAAAGATTTGAAAAGGATCTCTGGCACCGAAGGGGCCAAGGGACGATTCACAAGAATACCAGGGTACTGGGAATTTGCAATGAGGGGGCCTGTAGCCTGGCAAATGCCTTACTGGAAGTTGGTGCAAAAAAGCAGTAGTGGTGCCCGAAGAAGGTAGTTGTACCTGCAGTTTCAAGGTTCAAGCCCGCACATATTCCATTATGCTCCCCCCCTCCCCCCTCCTGCCTCCTCAAAGAAAACGACGTCTTTGCTGCCAGATCTCTGTGTCTGCGAATGGGACGAGGTCAGGACCTGGCCCAATTGTAGTGGAATCTAAAGGCTTAAACCACCAGTACTTGGCCCAGCTATGGGCCGCGGGCGCGTCCCGTTAACGCGCCGCATTTGAGGGGGGTCGTTCACATGAACGGCCGGTCGCTGACGTAGAAAAGAAAGAACCGAAAAGAAAAAAAAGAACTACTTTCTAAATTGGGCGGGGGGGAGGGAAATCGTCCGCCTGGGAGATGGGTGACGGGGGCCGCAAGACTTCCGCTAGCGCAAAAACTGTGCTAATTCAGTGCGCTAATCGCGCTACCGGATTTGTGTCAGCTTTGCCGTAACTGAAGTCTCTAGGCCCAGGGGCGGGCGGCGGTTGACACCAAAGGCGTTCTAAGTTAGCGCGTAGAGCTGTAGTGGCTAGACCAGTCTGCCGCGGTACCACCACCAGGATGGTTACTTCGGTAATTGCCGGGCAACCTTTTGCGAGGGAGATTTTCAGGAGTAAACCGGCCCCGGGGAGACGACGAAGATGTTATGTTTGGTGCGTTCAATTTTGTGGATGTGTACACACGTGTAGGAAGATTGATGGGCGTACGCCGGCTGGCATCTGCCATTCAGAGGTGGAAGTAGTAAGGCAGCTATGAGTCAACAGTAAGCGCGAAGAACGATCACCACCAGCACAAGAAGAGATCCTGATCTCTCCGAGGAAGACAAAGTGAAGTTCTTAATTGTGAAATGCTATGAAGAAGGGATCTTCCCAGAGAGATTGAGGCAAGGAAAGTTCATCTACGAAAACAGCGCCAAGATTTTTGTCGTAGACAAACAAGTGGGAGAGCTTACAACAAAGTGGCTGAAAGAAAGAACAATGACGATTATCTTTCAAGGCGAAGCAAGATCGTTACCAGTGAAAAAGAGAGAGGATCTGATACGTGCCTATGAGAATGGATGGACCAGAACACGTACGTTTGCAAGAACGGTGAAAAGAGGTCGCGTTCATCCGGAGGTGCCGAACGTGATGTCCTACGTGGCCATGCATCCAGAAGTAGCACAGTGGATGGTGAACAAAGGAGAGGAGAAGGTGGTCATACGAGGCATCCAGTACAAGATGCTCTTCAAGCCTTGGATGACCAAGCTGGAATTGGAGGAGCGGAGAAGGTTGGAGGAATCCTCGAAGTTTTGGGTAATGGCGCTTCGAGTACCACTGCAAGCGATGTTCCCGATCGGGGACTTGGTAGAACAGAGTATGGGGCGAATCATTAACGTAATTCCCCTGCAACCGGATGCACAGAGACCGAGGCTGATGAACATGAAATTCGAACTCGTCCCTGAAGCGGAAGGAGCCTTTGAACCGCTGCTACCTTTGAGACTAGATGATGGGGAGACTGTTAATATCGAATTTGTATGTAAACACACGCCGTGGTGTGATAAGGTGGAATCACACGGCGACGGACGGGTGCCCGAAGCTTCAACAAGAAGGCGCAGACCCGGAAGGAGGAACCGTGATGGCAGATAACTTCACCAACCAGAATCGGCAGGATTTAAATTCGAATATGCTTGGAGGGATCCGTGATGCCGCCAGAGACCTGCCAAAAGAAATACCCTGCAACGAGGTGGCAGAATCTTCAATCGGGCCAGGAACAAGATTTCAACAGCAACAAGGACAAGGTCGTCCAGTACTCAATCACGAACCGTGGATCAGCGGAGGGATGAACAATATCCCAATGTCAGGCATTGGCGGTGACAACCGCGCAGGGTCAGTCGTCCCTACTCCCTCAATATTAGCAGGAGCGAGGCAGCAGCCAGCAATTCACAGAGGGCAGAACAGGAATTACGCAGCACAAGGCGGACAGGGATGTTCGGGAGGAGGCAATCAGAGTGAGCAGGTATGGCAGTCTTTGGTCTACGAAGCAGCTAAAATCCTTGCAGCAGAGATGGCAGGTAAGAGAGCCGCTGTACAAGGTGGTTGTTCGAGAGAGCTAATGATGGTGCCAGGAAATGGCCAAGTTCTTGCAGAACAAGGTATGGAACATGGAGAACAGTGGGGAAGGAAATTACGAGGAGACGGGATTAGGAAGTCAGATGGAAGGGAGTTGGTAAAATATGTGGGTCAGGGAGACGGAGAACATGAAGCGGAAGGAAGCCAGGAGGAAGAGGAGGAAGAGGACGAAGAGGAAGAAGAGGACGAAGATCGCCGAGAGACATTCATGACAGGGCTCACACTATACCACGAGATCAGGAAATGGAAAACAACTTAATTCTGCCGTTTGTGTGTACTCTACAAGGGCAGGAAATCTTCGTGATTGGATTAAGAGCTTAGGACGGTACGTTTTATATGCCTACAAGTCATATTGTAGAAATTTCGTCTGCACAATTTATAGTCATGAAAGTACGTCAACTCTTCTCCAATCGATTGGTCTTGAGGTTTTTCCCAGAGGACACACCTACGCGCCTTGTAGCAGATCTTCCCGACGGAGGGAAGGCCTGCTACTCTGTTCCATTGGTGGATGCAAGAATTCCCCCTGAGGTGTGGAACAATATCTCAGCGATACGTATGTTAGGGATCCCGCTGCAAATGTTTTTGGCAGATTTAAACGATGAACTTGAGAGGATTTCTGTTGAGCCTGGTCTCACGGCCAGCATCCTGCGCCAACTCAATGGGATGTTACAAAAGCGAAGAAACCTGTCATCAGTATACTTCACAGAGGTCTTAAGTTCAAGATGGCCTGAACCGATTCTCCAGTCAGGGCAGATCCAAGCCTTTGCCCTTCATGCCAGGACTCATGGGCAAACTTAATATAGCAACATGGAACGTGCAGGGCCTGGGTGATACAGGGGGCAAGAATAAGGGTAGACGACTCAAGACATGGGTACATGAGGAAAGGGTTGATATTCTGTTAATTCAAGAAACAAAGTTGTCAGAGATCGAACTGCTGCAACTTCGTGATTGGTGGTCAGGTGCCCAACTGTGGTCACCGGCGCAGGGGAGTAGAGGAGGGGTTGCTGTACTCATTCACAATCGGGTGGAGGCAGAATTGGTGGACAGTGACAATGACCTGTGGGGGAGGTGGAGTTGGGTAAAACTCAATTTGGGAAATGAGGATTGGGTGGTGGCCACGATTTATGCACCGAATGATCCTGTGACCGGATTGAGTTCGTGGAGCTGCTTTCACGTAAGCTGCCAAAAGCGGACCGTTTGATTATTGGTGGTGATAGGAACATGATCTGCTCTCCAGGCCTGGACTCGGAGAAGGAGGAAAGCATGCAACGGGATAGGCGCACACTGCTAACCTGGATGCAAAGATGGGGTTTGCACGACGTGATCAGGGAGATTAATCCGGTTGATCCAGGTTTCACCTGGTTTGGGAAAACGGCACAGACAGCGCGAGTCAAGCGAAAACTCAACTTTTTTCTAGTCCCAGAAGTCGTGGCAGCGAACGTGCAGTGGGTTCAGGAACAAAATGCGCCGTTCTCGGACCACAAGCCAGTTATGATGACCATGCACACAAATGGAGTGGACGACAGAGGCCCGGGCAACTTTCGTTCGAATACCATACTGATGGAAGATGAGGGAATTTGTGAATGGGTGCGGAAGTTTTGGGAAACATGGAATGCAGCAAAGGAAAATTTTGGCTCCAAGGAAGATTGGGTGGATGCAGGAATACGAGTCATCTCAAGTAAGATGGAAGTGTTCTCAAGAATGGCGGCATACCTGAGGAACAAGGAGGAGAAGGAGTGCAAGAGGAAGGTAGACGAAGCCGAGCAGAGGATGAATTCTCATCCAATCTTGGAATTAGCTTGGGCTGAGGAAAGGAGTTTGCGACTGGAAGCTTGGGAAAAGATCCAACAGGAGAAACAAACTAGGTGGGAGCAGATTTTGACAGAGAAGAAGACTGTGGTTGGCGACAGAATGAGTAGAGATACGTTCCGAAAGTTATTGTCAAAGCATCGAGCAGTTCAGATGAAGGAGCTATCTCACCCACATCTCGCAACAATGCCTCCAGCGACGAACAATGAAGACCTCTGTAAATATGCAGCTGCATATTTCAGTGATATCTTAACCTCACACTCCAGATTTGCAGATCCGTGCTCAGATTTGGCGGAGCATTCCAATCTGTGGGATTCGTTGGGAGTGGCTTTATCAGCAGAAGCACGAGAGGAACTCGACAAACCAATCACTGCAGCCGAGTTAACAAGGACGCTGACAACAATGGCGCATGGCAAAGCACCGGGAGACGATGGATCACCCTTGGAATTTTATCAAGCACTGACAAGCAGTATGGGGTACCCTGGTAGAAGACCTGGTAGTGATGTACAATGAGATCAGAGAAGGGGGAAGACTGGGGGCATCCATGTCTAGAGGAGCTATAACTCTACAGTATAAAAAGGGAGATCGTAGTGAAATCAGGAATTGGCGCCCGATTTCACAGCTAAATCTATCCTACAAGTTATTGGTCAATACAACGCCCAACAGACCGACAAACTTCTTACCAGGACTGGTGGGCCTAGACCAGGGGGCGTTCGTCAAAGGCAGGTCAATTTTCGATAATTTGGCTACAGCGATTGAAGCACTCGAGTTAATTAAGGAGAGAAAACTCGATGTTGCAGTCCTTTTGCTTGATCTTGAAAAAGCTTACGATAGAGTAAATTGGACATTTGTCCTTACTACCCTGGAAGCAATGAATTTCGGAGACTGCTTTTGCAGCTGGGTGAAGGTGTTGTACCTCTTCTCAACAGCGGTGGTGCAGGTGAAAGGTAATCATTCGGAGGAATTCAGGTTGATGCGCTCACTCAGGCAAGGCTGCCCTCTGGCACCATTGCTATTCATATTACAACTGGAAGTCCTCCACGACATTTGATCTCATCCAATGCTGGAGGGCCTGAGACTACGAAGTGGTAACGATAGCAGGGTGAAGGCCTTGGCGGATGACCTGATGGTACTCACAAGGAACAAGAAGGAATCATTAGTAGCATTGAAAGAGTGTCTGATGAGATACACTGACCTATCAGAAGCGGCTATTAATTGGAGTAAATCAATATATTTCCTCCACAAAGACTATCAACTCTGCGTGGAATGGGGCATGAGAAGACTGCAAGAGGGAGAGGCAGAGAAATATTTGGGTATTCAGCTTGCTCTGGACGAGTGCACGGAGTCTCAGACGGTGGTCCTACAAGAAAAGGTAACTGGGCGTATACGAAAATGGGGCTCAGCGTCACATGTCCTTGATTGGCAGAGTGCTGGCCATCTCAGTGGCGGTTTTCTCAGTATTATGGTATGTGGCAAAAGTAAGAAGACTATTGAAACCGCTCATCAAGAAAGTCAAGTCGGTTGCACGGCGTTTCATCTGGAAACCAGGCTCATAGGAGGAAAAAGGGTACATTCCGAAAGTGGCATGGAGAACCCTGTGTCTACCCAAAGTCAATGGCGGACTCGGTTTGCTAGATGCGGAAGTTCAGAATCTATTGCTGCTTTCGAAATGGATAGGCAAGGTAGCCTCGGCAGTCAAGCAGACTGGTGTCTTTTGGCTGAGGAGATTCTGTGTGAGCAATGGGGGCTCTCACGTGCTTCAGATGTTTGGGTAGCAATCATGCTTCAAAGCTTCCTTGACAAGCGGATCAAGTCGAGATTTTGGAAGGACATCATCCAAGCCTGGCAGCAGACTTTTTAGCAGTTACTCAAATTCTTATATATGTAGGAGCTATTAACGTATTAATTTTATTTGCCATTATGTTAATAAGTTTGCAAACCTGATCAGGTTGCTGAGCCCACCACGAGAACACAGGTCCTGAAACAGCACCTCTTTGAGAACCCCCGACTTCTGAACTCAAAAGGAGTGCAGTTTTCTGCAAACACAAGACCAGGATCATATGGAATGAAATGGATACAACGAGGTGTATCCCGGATTGACGACCTGTGGGACGAGCTAACAAGCCAATGGAACTCACCAGAGCATCTCAAAGTAAAGTTAGGGATGCTACCAGGTCAGAGTGAGAGACGGGCAGAGTTGATCAGCGCCATCCCGACGGAATGGCGTGCACTATTGGGGCCAGAATACATCCCGCCCACTGGCACATCGTTCAAGAGATGCGCAGAAGGCAGAGAGGATTTTTTGCAATTGGAGAAGTGGGATCAAGAAGTCCTAGGGAAGTGCACTCTCGCTACGTATCCGAGGGTAGCTCAGGGACTGCCAGGACTAAAGAAGGTGGGAGCATCAGTCAACCATGGCTTCAGTAATCTACAAGAGATACGAGTGTCAGAGGAAACGAGAAGGGGATCACCAACGTGGCAACTAGAGGCAAATGGCACAGCTCATGCGACTTTGAGAATAGATCAACAGACTTGGGGATGGAAGCAAGGCGAAGAAGAAGTCACGTGGGAACTGAGGAATCAAACAGTAGCTGTCCAACACAAAAGACACTCAAGAGATCAACTGACAAGTAGGGCCCGTACTATATCTAGCACATCGATTTCCCCCGTGATGATCGCAGGTCCTCCCGATTCCATCTCGCTCGGGGAGGATCTCCATTCTGCAACTTCGTTATTGTCGGGGGCAGGTTGGATGGCCCCGATCATTCCGAGGCCCGGGTATCCTAACGATATGTATTGGTCGAGCGGAATAAGTTCCCCTGCTTCCTCCGTAACACCCGATGTGCTTGCCCCACTGTCAGTTTCTTCTACCATCGTTGCTACCCGTCCTGGTCCATTAGCTATTGGTGCTGCGGCCGTTGGCACAGCCCCGATTCGTGCCTATGCGGGTCGGTTGGGACATTCTCGTGCTATGTGTCCGGGTTGATGAGACGTGTAGCAACCGTCGACTCGTGCACCCGTTCCTGCCGCGACAGCACCTGTCGCCTGCGCGGCTCCAGTTCCCATGGGGGTGGCTCGAACCGTAATGGGGCGCATCGAGCGGAGCAGTGTTTCCATTCGGGCGTTATATTCCCGCTGATCCCTCTTACTTTCCTGCATGAGATTCACCAACATTCTTGTTAACTCGAGAATAGCGTTTGGTTCCTCGGCTTTCGGGGTCTGAGGGGGCGCAAGAGGGACAAGAATAGGAGGTCCGATGGCCACGTTGGCCATCGGCTTCTGGACCCCGACCGACTCTAGGTAGGTGACGGGACTTGAGACAAAGCCCATATTTTCAAATTTGTTCTGTAGCGCAGCGAGTTCCATTCACGCTCGGGTAAGTTCGTACGTGTCCCCCTCCTTTGCATGATCCTCGCCTTCGAGGAAACTGGCAGCGAACTTTCGTTCCATTTCCTCGGCGGCATCCATTATTTGTTGCAGGTTATGGGGGAAAACTGTTTTCGCAATTTCGCCCTCATGGCTCGGCTTCTAAGCCCGTCAAT